CGGCTGGACACTGACGGATCCAGTGACATCCCAGGAGACGGTGGCCAGGAGAGCAGCAGAGAAGTGTGGGCCCAGAGCCATGGAGCAGAAACTCCTCCTGGGACACAGGAACAGCCACCCCTGACGTGACCCCCCGGCCCCTTTGCCAACCCTGTCCACCAGGAATGACCGCGACACCGAGGGCCAGATGCAGAAATCAAGTGGACACTGGTGAGCGGAGATTGATGGTGAGCGGGGAGGTCGGCGTATGAGAAGTTAGGATTTCACACCTGGCCGGGGACAGGGGAATTGGGCGGAACCCTCTTTCTTAAGCGATCCCATTTGTAGAAATGATTTTTTTACTCTTCATTTCCATCTTTCCTGACCCCTCAGAGAGCACCAGACCAAGTTCAGATTTCTGATCCCAAAGATTTTCCGTTCCCAGGGCTGCACTTGTCTCCAGGCCTGAAAGATGAAAAAGTTATTTAAGGCCTCCTTCGAGGTCCCCGCGCTGATCTCTGGAATCCAGTGATAATCACCACGACTTGAACACCTGGGTCAGGCACGTTGAAATCAATTATTTCCTTTAAGTCTCATCACAGTGAGTTGGGAGGGGAGGAAAAGGGAAATAGTATTGCTTTTTTTTTTTTTTTTTTTTTTTTGCTGATGGAAACTGAGGCTCACGGGGATCAGAAACTTGCCTTTGGTTCCATGGTTAGGAGCAGAGAGAACTCAAAGTGAGATGCAGGAACCGTTCGTTGATGGGGTCAAGTTCGCGCCATCATGTGTGACCCTCGCCCTTCTCTGGCTCCTGATCTTCCTTACCAGGTGATGCAAAGACCAAGTTCTCCACCCAAGAGGGCTGAAGCCACCAACATCGAGAAGTTTAGAAGGTTCACTCTCTTCCCCAAATTAGCACCTCGAACAATCTTTCCTTGCTCATGACAACCCTAGTCTCAGGGGAAATGGCTGTAATATAATGGCAGAGGCAGGTGGATTGCTGAATGATCAAGCTGGGTGCCCTGCTGCTAGGAACGAGATCTATTCACTAGGGGCAAGTTGCTCCGTCTCCTCCAGCCCCATTCTGTTCCCTCCTTTGAAGGGAAAAGGGAATTTTTACTCTGCATATTCTAGAATTGGAAACGACATACAGACCAAAGAGTGAGAGATGGATTAAATTATAGCAATGACGGATCAGGGCCATGAAGACATGATTGGGTGGAGTATAAATCCACTGAACGTTTAGCTCTCTTCTGGATACTGCACATGACCTGTAACAGCTCATTTAACTTTTTTTTCCCCCAAAAAATTACAAGGTAGGTATTATTATTACTAAGCCTATTTTACATATGAGTGAAATCACTAGTCCAAAGTCACAGTTAAGATGTGGAGAAGTCACAATTTAAGTCTGGGCAATCTAACCTGGAATTCAGTTACATAGAACACAACTCAAGTCACTCAGAAATACGGTCTTGTTTTAAAATTTAATAGCAAAAGGGAATGATGATCATCCGTTTTTCTGCTACTATGTAAAAAATTACTCCAAAATGTGGTGGCTTGAACGGCCACAACTATTTTGGTGGCTCTGTACAGAATTTTTTCGGTTTTTAAAATCCAGATTGGGCTCAGCTGGGTGGTTCTTCCAACGGTCTTGCTGGTGGTCTTTCACGGGTGTTCAACCGGCAGGCTGGGCGGAGGCTGGGCCCAGCAGGAAGGCTGCACCTGCTGGGCCTCTTTTTTTGCATGGAGTCTCAGGGCCTCTTCCTCCCGTAGACCTACTTCCGTGTGGAAAAAGAAAAAGAAGCAGCTTCCAGGTCTCTTGAGGTTTAGGCCTGGAATTGGCATAGCCCCTTTTAAATAAATTTTTCTTCTTTTGCATTCTATTCATTAGAGTGAGTCATGAGACCAGCCAGGTGTCAAGTGGAGAAGACCAAACAATAGTATGAATCCCAGGAGCATGGTACCTCGGGGGCCACCAATGTGATACAGCACTGCAGCATGTGGCAATGGAATCCCCGTTGCCAGAAAGCTTACTTATAGAAGAAGCACTTCCATGAATGGACTTTAAAATATCAACAGTGGTCCTCTAGTTACAGAGAGAGAATGCAGGCTGCGTTTTTTTTTTTTCTTCTAATAGCAGTCTCCCTGTATTTTCCAAAGTGCTTAGAGTGAATACATTCTGGTTTTGCATAAGTAAAAAAAGCTTGAGCTTACCTTTAGTCTTCAAGAATGAGAAAGTGATTCCTGATCTGTGTCCAGCTGAAAATAGTCGACGCATATTGAGCACTTACTGTGGATTTATGCACATTAACTCTGTATGTTAGTGGTAAGGGCTATGATTATCCCCGTCCTACAGATGCACAATGGGGGTACAATGGGGGTCACATAACTGCCCTAGACCCCAGGACTGGCAAAGGCCAGAGCTAAGAATCAGTGTTCCTAGATCCTTGGGCCCCTGGATACAGGTCCCAACATCTGGAGCTTCTGTCTCCGCAGTGCTCCCTGGTCTTTCCATGAATGGTGTGGCTCACTGATCTATTCCAGGAAGCAGAGTATGGGAGTCTCCCGCATTACCCAAGGAAGTACCCATAATGGCACGAGTTCTGGCTGAATGCAGGGCAGCTTGCAAGAACAGACCTCAAGTTAGAAACTCTGCACCTTGTCGGGTAGCTTTACTCCACTGGATATGAACCGTGTTAGCCAACACACAGCTGAGAATCCTCCCTCCTTATCACAGCATGCATCCACAGGAGCACATATGTGTGAGTGGATACACACATGAATAGATATGCATCTATCCACGTTTGTGCACATGCCTGGTCTGAGACAGTTTGCACACCATGCACATACAGGTCTACACAGGGATCTACACATGTGCATACACCTTCAGATGTCAGCTCACAGGCTTGTACATGGTTCTATGCACACACATACCACTGTTTGGTTATTGTAGAAACCCAAATAGATATGTGTGGATATCCACGACGCACTCCTGCTCTGCACTGATGCACATTCAGGCATTCAATGTCATGGCACCCAAGCATATATACACACAATTTTATGTATATATAGTGCTGTGCGGTACAGGCACATGTAATGCCACCACCTGCCCCCCCCATATATAATTAGAAATATATAAATTTTTGTTTAAAATGCTTAGAAGTTAAGTCACCTTTGTTTTCCTATTCTTTCTATCTCAAATAAAACAAAATGATGAATAACGAGACACATAATGAAACGATTCCTCCCTAACGTCAAACCAGTATTTGCACATCAGCCCCCCGCCCGGCAGAATCCTCCCGTACGTCACCCTGGTTCGGCTTGGCATGGTCATAGCACTTGTGTGGACTCCGTGAACCGGGTGCTGGTCCATGTCATAACTCTGGTGCCTTCACAAGTCAGTTAGACCAGACAAGGGGCGGGGCAGGTCTTGGAGGAGAAGTAATGGACCCTCGTAGGGCTGGCCATTTGGGAGAACCCAGTGTTCACATCGCAGGCCAGGCCCTGGGACTCACCAAGGGCCATGGTGACCTCAGACTCCCTCTACGGGTTCCCAAGAAGGCCCGTCTAATTTCCCCAGATGTGAGTTTGCCTTTGGCTGGCATCTAAGCCAGCTGGGAGGTGCACCCCGCTCTTAGGGAACAGCTTCCAATCACACCCAATATGGCGGTGCAGGAGGGGCCCCAGGGCAGGCTCTGGTCGGGTCAGTCATTTCCCTCTGTCTGTCTAGCCTGTCCAGGGAGAGTCAGATACCCACTGGTGGGAACGTAAAGAGCACTCCGTGGGTCGGCTGAAGTCTGTTCCCGTTAGCCGGAAGCCACCAGGAGACCCTCCATGACAAACTGAGGACTAAGCAGAGGAAAGCTGACCTGAGTCCACCTGCACCAGAACTGACCCAAAGCCCCGGGACCTCGTGCCCTCTACACTCCGCCATGGACCTCGTCCTGGGCTGTCCAGCTCCTCCACGGACCAGCAGCTCCTTGACCACAGGGAGCTCCCGGTATCGTGGTGTCTCTGGGGCGCAGCACGTGTGACAGATATTTGTTCATGGAACGAATAAGTCAGTTCGTTAACGAAGGATCGGCTCAAGCCTGTGCTGGTAAATCTGGACGAAAGCATCACGGACCCACGGCCATCCCTACTTGGGACGACCCTGATTATATCCACCAAGATCAAGTTCTCGGGCGCCACCGAATGTAAATGGGAAGAGATGTTAGGCTGATTTTGCTCAAGAGCTGGGGTCTTCTTTCACAGTCGATGTCACTGCAAAGTCATTTTCTCCTCCAGAAAACAACAGAAGGCTGGGATTACACCGCACCCCTGTAATCCACGAGGCCCGCCCTCCAGGAGGTATGATTTCACCCCTCACGGTGTTGCCTTAACCCTGCGCAGTGCGCCTGCCCACGGAGGGGACCAAGCAGAGGTGCTGATGCTGGGGTCTGAAGCCTCGTGGCCCAAGGGAGTCTCAGAGATGACTCCGTAAAAGCATCTCTCTCTGCACAAAGCGGCCAGCGCGTGGGCAGCTCACGGTTGCCAGCCCCTGTCCCAGGACCCCTTCCCCTGATGGAATTCCATGGGGGGTCTGTCCTGCCCTTCCATCCAGCTGTCCTGGGCTTCCCAAAACAGGCTGAGGGCCCACAGACCCCCAGGACCAGCCTGCTGCGATGCCGATCCAGGCAGACCACCCGAGCCAGGGCCGTGGGAGGGCCAGCCAGGGGTCACCGTCTGTGCATTGTCAATCTGCCCCTCTTTGTCTCAGCTCTTTGCTCTCACGGCCTTTCCCTGATGTTTTTTTGCACCACAGCAAGCATTGCATTCTAAGCATTTTAGTGATGATGATATTTATAATAGTAGCTCCCACTTATTGAATAGGGTCCTTTGCAGAGAATTCACCTGACGGCTTTATTACGTGAACTCACTTGCTCCTTCAGCCTATCCTCTGAGACAGGGATGGTGATGATCACATGCCCAATCTACTGGAGACAAACGGAGGCTCAGAGAGGCTGAGCACCCAGCAGAAGCTCACACAGCCCATGTTTGGAGAAGTTGGGGTGTAAAACTGGCTTCAGAGCCTGCTTCCTTCTCCGCTGGGCTCGCCCACCTCCTGGTGACGGTGCCTTTAGCTGCCTGTGTTCCCTACTACGTAATGAGCCAGTCACAGCAGCGACTGTGACTTCAGCTCAGTTTTGGATTGTACTGTCTTGACCCAGCTCCGGGCTCCGAGTAGAGACTGCTCAGCTTTCCTGTAGAGCAGGCGATTTGATCTGCTCACCACACCAGCTGCTCCCCACGGCTCCAGCTGGTAAGTCAGCATCCCTGGGTGCAAACCCCTGGGGGGTCCTGCCCAGCCTCCTTCTCCCCCTGGGGGCAGTAGTGAGCTCTGCCTTCATCTCTTGGAGCATCCGGGGCTTCGTCCCGCAGTCCAGAGTCTTCAAAGCCTATAGAGGCGTGTCGTACCCACCCCATAAGCCCTGTAGCACCGCAGACTGAACTTGGAACCAAGCAGAAGATGCTTCTCAATTTTTTTTTAGAGGAAAAAAAATATGGGGAGTGGGGGAGGGGGAGGGGAGATGAGCAGATGCAGGTCCCAGGAGACGGGCACCCTGGCGGTGGCCTGGTTGTCTCAGAGACCGAGCAGCAGTGCAGGGGATGTTTGCCCTTCTCTAGATCCTTGCTGGAGTCTGGGTGTCTGGATTGGACTTGGTACCCAATTTCTGGGTTCCTGGTGGGAAGCAGAATGTGGAGGTCAGGCACTGGAGCTTCTACGCCGATTCCCCACCTGCTAACTTTGTGCCCAGGGGTGAGTCAGGTAGCCCTCCAGAGCCTCCGCTTGTCATTTATGTAGATAACAGTCCCCAGCGCTGAGGGCTTCCGGGTCCGTAAGGACGTCCCGTCTGGTGCAAGTGGCAGATGCTGTGTGTCCTCTGGGGATTCTTGTGGCTCCTCCAGGAGAGAAGGACAGACGGAGGCATGAGGACATCCCCCGTCTTGTTAGAGGAAGGACGTGCCAATGGATGTGCCCGGGGTGGTCACATATTTGCCTTACGTTCTGATGCCTCCTCCCCGTGGGTCACTCACCAATACCAGAGGCTGATCGAGGTCTTTAAAAACCATGAAGCTGTGAAGTTGGGGGGGGGTCAAGACTCCAGAGTTCCCCAAGCTTCCAACCCCCTCCCACCGCCCCATTCCAGTCTGCGTCCCAGGGAACGTGGCGGTGAGGCCCTGGTTTGGGATGAAGGGGAAATGAACCTTCCACCCATTCCTGGATCGTGGCTTCTGGGCAGAAAAGCACCGCTGTGGCATCCGGAGACATCTGCCCCTGGCCCGGCGCAGCGCCTGCTGGGAAGGTCCCCCGTGGGGTCCACGCCGGACGCTCGCTCGGCCTAGCTCCCCGGTCACTGGGGCCCAGATGCTGCTGCTCATTCTGTGCCCCCAGGAGGATGATGGGAAATCCCCGGGACCCTCCACTACCACCCCCTTGCGTGGGTCTCCTGAGGACATTTCCCGCCTGGTGCTGCCCACCAGGGAAAGAGGAACTGGGTGAACGTGCGATTCCATTTATGCTTCTCGGCGGGGGAGAGAACACCAGTGTGGCCCCCTGCCCCTCTTCCCCTCAGGCCCCTTATACACACACTCACACTCACACTCACACACCCACATACTCACATAAACACATGCACACACACACACTCACACACTCACATAAACACATGCACACACACACACATACACACATGCACACACACACTCACATACACACATGCACACACATACACACTCACATACACATGCACACACACACACACACTCACATACACACATGCACACACACTCACATACACACACGCACACACACACACTCACACACATGCACACACGCACGCACACACACACTCACACACACACACTCACATACACACATGCACACACACACACACGCACACACATGCACACACACACACAAGCTCTCTGTTGACTCAAGCCACAGGAATTGGGTTAAACCTCCTCTCAGTGCCTTCTGAAGATGTAGAACAGCACAGGAAAGATCAGGTGGATTTAGAGCCCGTCAGATACGGATCTAGCCATGACTCCACCACCCTTCAGCTCCACCTCTCTGAGCTTTTAGCTCTGCATCTATAAAATGCAGGGAGTAAGAGGACTTCTAAGGTTTGGATGTGCACCCTAAAGTTCACATGTTAAAACTCAATAAGGTGGGGCTTGTGGGAGGTAATTAGAGTAGATGAGGTCATGAAGGAGGCCCCCAGAAGACATCAGTGGCTTTATAAGAAGTAGAAGAGATCTGGGTGCAGTGGTGCACACCGTCATCTCAGCGGCTCAGGAGGCTGAGGCAGGAGGATCACAAGTTCAAAGCCAGCCTCACCTCTCCAAATAAAATAAAAGGGCTGAGGATGTGGCTCAGTGGCTAAGCACCCCTAGGTTCAATACCCAGTACCAAAAAAAAAAAAAGAAAAAGAAGTGGAAGAGAGATCCAAGGCAGCGTGTTGGCTCTGTCACACCATGTAGTACCCTCTGCCATGTTTTGATGTAGCAAGAAGACCCTCACCAGCTTCCCCTGTTGGCACTGTGCTCTTGAATTCCCCTCTTGCAGAACCATGAGCTAAACTAACCTCTTTCCTTCATCAATTTCCCAGTCTGGGATGTTCTGTTATAGCAACAGGAAACATACTAAGACAATCACCTACCTCACCAGTTCATTGTTCAGAGCTAATAACAGAATGTATCTCTTTAAGGATCGCATCTGTCTGAACGTAATTTAACCAAAATACCTGCATTTTTCTCATAAAGCAAGAAATGTTGAGGCAGGCAGTTCATAATACCGTCACTACTCAGAGCCAAATTATTTTGTTTTCCTTTCCTGCTGTCTTTAACATGAATTTCTTTTCCTCTTGATCACAAGATGGCTGCTGCATCCTGACCTTTTTTAATCCACATTCGAGGCCAAGAAACAGGGAGAAGGAAGGCAAATGGAAACCTTTCCTAGAAGCCCCTTCAAGCGGTCAACTAGCCACGCTTTCACTGGACAGAAACCACAAGGCCATTTTTACCTACAATGAATTTCTGGAATGCTCTTTTCGGGGCACATCACTATTATGAACAAAACCACTGACCTGTTAATAAGGCAGAAGGAAAGGATTGAATATAAAGATGCGATTGGCGGTGTCTCCTCTGCAGGAAACGTGCTTCACACAGTCCCGGACACCCAGCACATACCTAAGAAGGGTCACCTCTGGTGATGATGGTCAGCTCCGCGGGGGACTGACGCCCGACCCTAGAGCCACATTCCTCCCATTGACAGGCAGCCTCTGTCATCCTGCTGACCTGCTGCCTGAATCACCCTGGTGTGCCCGTCACTGCTCCCAATCAGCCTGCTGTGGCTGTGTCTCCAAGGACCACTAGGCAGCCCTTCCCTATCAGCTGCCTGATCCGGCCCCATCCAACCAGCAGCCAGGAGCCTTGCTCTCCCGGGAAGCTGCTAGTACATCCTGGACGGGAAGCGAGGTTCTCCTTGAAGTCTCCTTGAAGCTGGCAGAGGAATGGACCCTCTCCTGTCTCTGTCCCCCGCCATGTGTTCTCTTTCCCCCGGAAATCATCTTCAGGAAGGAGCACCCCGAAACTGGGTGTGGTTTTGCTGGGGTGCGTGGTCAGACACCAAGGGGGCCCCCCTCCTCGGCTAGAGCAACCCCCAAGCTCATCCGCTGAAGCAAACGTCAGTGGCGTCCAGGTTTCCTCACCCAGGAAACGTCAGAGTTTCACCAGGGGCTGAATCTAAGGAGGGGGACCGCCCCTGAGTTTGCCCATTTTAAACCTGAGCACGAGCTTCCAGGTGGCTCACGGGCCATGTCGGTGGGATTCACACTCGCAGCAGCCGTGGGTAAGATCTCCGGTTTCTCAGTACCCGGCCCAGGGTTTGACATCGTTAGACTCTGGAACGTTTCACCATGAGAAATGCAATTTGTGTTTTTAAGATGACTGAGAGGATGGGCAGCTTTGGACATGCTTCCTGGGATTCATTACCTGGAGAGTCTTAAAGACCCTGTTCATGTCTAATATGACCATCCAACGTATTATGATGCTTTTTTCGGGGGGCACTGGAGATTGAACTCAGGGGCACTCGACCCCTGAGCCCCATCCCCAGCCCTATTTTGGATTTTATTTAGAGACAGGGTCTCACCGAGTTGCTTAAAGCCTTGCCATTGCTGAGGCTGGCTTTGAACTGGCGATCCTCCTGCCTCAGCCTCCTGAGCCACTGAGTCTATTAATCTACAAGACCATCCTTCCTGGGTACAGTACACACAGTGCTCACAAGAGCCTGCGGAGCCACACTGAGGTCTTCTCAGCCAGAAACCAGTGGTCAGGGGCCGCGGAAGAAGCATCAGGTATGAAGAGAAGTTACGTCATACAGTCGTAGCAGGAGGAGTACTAGGTGCCACTGAATATCTGAAAGGTACGTGAGGAAATGCTGCGATCCCTGAGTGGGTTCTGTGTCTTTTTGTGGGACACTACCTTGGGCTTGGTCACTAATGGTCAAGGATTCCTAAATGGACACCGCCGCTTGCCTTTAGAAATAATTTTGAATTCTCAATTCCGATTTCCAATTCCCAATAAAAATATCCCCAACCTTCCTATGTTACAGGTGGGAAAACTGAGTGACTTGTCCAAGGTCGCAGCGCGGCCTGCTGACTCAGGTTTCCCACGGTCCATGCTGACACCTGTCCCTTAGGCCTGAGTCTCCTGACTCTAACATAAGAAAATCAGTGTGCAGCACCTTGCACATTCTGTGACTTCGTTATTCTGAGAAATAAGCCTTCCGGGTCCCAAGCATGCCCTCCGGGCCTGACCGGCACTGTTTCCACAGACACCACTTACTCCCATTGATGTAAAAAACTCTTGACATCCCTTCAAGTTCATTAAAATGGGATTTTTACTGCATTTACCTTGCTCTTGAACAATACCCAGTTTCCCTCAGGGATATTTGTTCTCAAGGAATTTCTACAGCCTACTCTTGGCTGAACATAATGAGCATTTGCTTCTGTTTGAAATAGAAAGAATTAAAGCATGTGCCCTGGAACTTCTTTGGCCTGTACTTGGACTTTCCCACCACCCTGCTCCTGGCCCACCCCTCCCCGGAGATGATTGAGAGCTAGAGTGCTGGACTAGGTCGCTCCTGGCCTGCCTGGGGCAGAGTTCACTGGGACGGGTTGGCCTGTCATCCCAGCATCTGGGGAGGCTGAGGCAGGAGGATCGGAAGTTCAAAGCAGCCTCGGGGACTTAGCGAGGCCCTAAGCAACTTAGCAAGACCCTGTCTCTAAATAAAATATAAAAAGGGCTGGGGATGTGGCTCCGTGTTAAGCACCCCTGGGTTTGATTCCTGGGTAGGGTGAGCTGGGTCCGGTGGGCGTTGGCCACACTTGAGGTCTCAGAACTGAACCCGAAGGGGGGAGATACTCCCAGTTTGAACTTTGAAGGCTGCCATTACTGAGTCCTCTGATCAGCCCGATCCTGCTGTACCCAGGCCCCTGGAGGAGGTCAGCGTGCACGCCGGAAGCCAGTGTCCCGTAGGTTAGTGACCTCTGTGATTTAGAAGGCCGAGGGGGGGCGCTTGCCCAGCATGCACCAGGCCCTGGGCTTGATCCCAACACCCCCCTAAAATAAAGCAGAATTGAAACGAAACGCAACAGTGAAGGACCAGGTGCGAGGGGACTTGATCATCGGATGCAAGAGAGCCGGCAGGGGGAGGAGGGGCGGAAGCTGTGACGGAGCTGGACACGACCACAGGATGGACAGGCCAGGAAGCAGAGGAAGGCGGAGGGACCGTGATGGCAGGAGGAGCCGGGTGCAGTGTGGCCAAGCCCCTAGCCGCCGGCTCAGCACCAATTCTCTCCTCCTTCTGCATTTTATTTGGGGTGACTCAGGTCAAGGGACTAAGGTGCATGTGACATCTGGGATGGGGGTAGGGCATCCTTTGAGCGCCCCCTTGTGGCGGGGTTAGGACCAACACTTAACAGTCCTATCACAGACCCCATCTCGGATGCCTGCAGCCGCAGGAAGGTGACCTAGGGGATCAGGCACAGCTGTCAAATAACGGAGCCGGTGAGAAGCGGCAGAACACCGTGCCCTGCTCAGAAACATTCCGATCACCTGCCCATCTGGCTAGGATCCAAGGCGGCTCCAGCCGTGTCTGGCAGACAGACCCACAGAGTCTGGCCTGGGAGATGGGGAGTTGGGGAGAGGCAGGCAAACTTGCAATTTGGAGGCCACCTGGGTCCCCTGGTCTTTGCATTTGGATGCAGCATCAGATGGGCATCGAGAAGTCCAAGGGCAAGGTCACGCCCCAGCACTAGTCTATTGCACTGATGCAACACTTAATGGTCAGTTACTCTGTGCCCGGCCATGGGCTGGACAGTGGAGACACAGAGGTGGAGAAAGGTCTCTTGGTCACAGCAGAGATGGTGGACGTGGGCTTGGAGGGGTGAGTGACTGTCCCAAGCCCCTTTGGGCAAAAACAGAAGGCTACCTGGGGAGTCAGGCTTGACAAGCAGAGAAAGATTGGAGCAAGGTCCCTGCCTGGGATGGTGCTTGGGAGACCAATCCAGAGCAGGGCCGTCCAGCCATGATTAGTCAAGTGAGGAAGGCGGGTCCAATTAAAGCAGCCACTGCAGGAATTTAACAAGCAAGCGATCATTTACGGAGACAGCTCCCTATTGGAGAGCACGGGCCTCATTTCTGAGCACTGGCACGTTTGATGTCGGACATTTGATTCTGTTCCAAGTTCCCAGCCGGCTCTGCAGAGGGCCCCGCGTCCTAGGGAGCAGCCTTTGAAGGCGCCAGCGCTGTCAATGGAGTTGTGCTAATTAGGCGGCAGGAGTGGTCTAGGATGCCCGTCTTCATTTGCAATTCAGTGTGTCTTTAATTTGCCAGAAAATAAAGAATTCTCTCTGCAAAAAAATCAGACGCAGGTTGGTGAGAAAAGACTAGCTCGGCTACCATTCATGAGGCACTTAAAATGCCAGGCGGTTGCTCTATATTTGGCACCCGTGACGGAGGTGGGGACTTGGATTTGGAGCCCCACTTTACAGATAAGGAAACCGAGGCTCAGCGACGGAAGTACTCGCCCATCAGCCCCACAGATGGTCAGGCACAGAGTCTGAATTTCAGTCCTTGTTTTTGCAGTAGTGTCTCTCAGCCACGATGTTTTCTCCTCAGGGTGTGTTTGGCACCGTCTAGAGACATTTTTTTGGTCGTCACAACTTGGGGGAGGTGTGAAGATGTTCCTGGTAACTAGTGAGTAGGAATCTGAGATACCGCAAAGCATCCCGCCAGTACAAAAGGGCAGCGTCCCTCGGCACAGAAACACGTGCCTCCAAACTCAGGCAACCTGCCTGAGTTCAGAAATCCTGACAGACACAACTGATCAGAAAGAGAAGGTTTTGAATCTGCCGGTGTGACAGCCACTGCGTGATTTGGGGGAAGTCACCTAATTTCTCTTGAGTCTCACTTTTTTTCTTTTTTTTTTTTTTGGTCCTGGGGATTGAACTCAGAGACACTCAGCCACTGAGCCCCATCCCCAGCCCTATTTTGGATTTTATTTAGAGACAGGGTCTCCCTGAGTTGCTTAGTGCTTCTCTGTTGCTGAGGCTGGCTTTGAACTCGCGATCCTCCTGTCTCAGCCTCCCAAGCCGCTGGGATGACAGGCGTGCACCACCCTCCCGGCATTTACAGAGCTGGGTAGCTCCTTGGTCAGTTCTGTAGAACAGCCCTGGTGACCACTGCCTTCCACCAAGGCATCCTTCAGCAGCAGGATCAAAATCATGCAGCCTCCGTCTGAGTGGGGAGAACCCGGCCTCCAGCCCAGTTTGCAGGTAGAAACACCCAGAACACACGTCAGAGATGACCACGTGCTCGCCTTCCAGCCTGGCCTCCCCTTGCTCTGGTAACAATGTCTCCACTTCCTCCGGAGGCCCTTCCTCCAGTCATGAGGACGTGATTTCCAAATGATTGACAGCACTCCACCAGTGGACACGTGACACAGCCTAGCCAATCAGAATACTCCATCTCCTGGGCTTTTCCAATGGGTTCAGTAGTGGGCACATGACCCTTCTTTTGACCAGTGAGGTCAGATTTCACCTCTTTTATGGGAATAGGTGAGAAAGATGGGTTCTCTTCTATGGCAAAGATATAGAATAAACACTGCATGCAAAGAGAGATCGTGGAGTGGCCACAGTCCCAATTACTGTAGTGCCAAAAAGCAGAGAATGAAAATATGAGAGAATTCATCAGGGCGCTCTGTTTGAACCTCTGGATCCAGCCACACCTGAAGCCAATCTTTTCATTCATGTGGAAGTTCAAGAAACCTCTTTTTGCTTTAGCTCCTTACAAGTAAGTGTCTGCTTTCCTGTAGACACATTAGTTGTGACTACCAACACAGAGCACAGGTTTATTCGTCTAGGCCAGGGGCGAAGGTGTATCTGGACCAGGACTCTTCTCCAGTCTCAGTGTGCAGATCAGTGGATTTCCACCCATGAACACTCCTAGGTAACCAGCGTCCGGGTGAAGATATGGAGTGCCACCCCCCGGGGCCCCTTTCTGTGGCTTGGAACTGGAATGTTCCCTAAAGCTCATGTGTGGAAAGCACGATTCTGCACCCAGTAAGGTTCAGAGGCGGGGCTTTGGGGCCAGGATGGATCACGGGGCTGGTGCCTCACCTGTGCATTAATCCCTTTCACGGATCAATTCTTTGGTAGCCGAATGGACTACTGGGAGGTGGTTGGAGGTGCTAGGTCGCTGAGAGCGCGCCCTGGCAGGGTTTATCTTGTCCCTGGCCCCTGCCCTGCCCCCTGCTTCTGGCTCCCAGGAGCTGAGCAGCATCTCTGTGCCCCGCTCCTCCACATGATGCTCTGCCTCACCCCAGGCCTGGAGGGATGCAGCTGGCCCGCCAGGGACTGAACCCTCTGAAACCATGAACCCAAACAAATCTTTCCTCCTCTCCGTTGTTCCTGTAGGGTATTTCATTTAAGATGTTCTCTGCCTGACCTTGAACTTCACATCAATGGAGTCATCTGGAGCATGTCCTCTTTTGTGGCTCTCCACTTTTGCACAATATGGAGTAGATCTGCTGATGTTTTGTGGTTGCTGAGCTTCCATTCACTTCCCTTGCTGTATAGTATCCCGCTCTGTGACTGTACCACAAATTCTCACCTGGGGTACTGCGGTGGACGTTTGGGTCCGTTTCAGCTGGGACCGTTAAGAATACTGCTGCTATGAAATTCCTGAACGTGCCTTTTGGTGCTCACATATGGCCACCTCTGGGAACCTGTCAGGCCTCAGGGTGGGCACATGTACAACTTAGCAGAGCGGGACACGTCATTTCCAAGGCGGTTCTTGTGCAAATACAGGCTCCGTCTAGCGGTCCCAGAGTCCTGGTTGCCCCAGGTTCTCCCGATGTTTGATGATTCCCGACTTTCTTGATTTGGCCATTTGGGTGGGTGAGACAATCCTGTCTTCTCTTCATCTCACCAAACCAATTCTGCCTCACCCCAGCCTGTGCTCCACAGTTTCCACGTAGTCAGAAGAGCTGGTCCACAGAAGAAAGCTTGAATGACCGACATGCCCTGGGCTTCTGCAAGCACTACAGACGTGACCTTCTAGATCTTTCCAGATGTAGCAGATGGAGAGGAAACAGGAAAAAGCCACCCATCAATGGATCTCCCCTTCCTGGGATTATAAGAGCTTCATCTATCAAGGCCTTTCCTTCCGCTGGTCATTTCTTTATTGCCCTGTGGTGACCATCCTTTGAAACCCAGACCAGGAGGCTTCAATAAAACTCAGACTTCAATTTCAGAGTAGAAAATCCTTTAGAAGACTCTCAGCAAACCAGATGATCATAGGGAAAAAAATGTGAATCTGGAGTAGGTTCTAGAATGTTCCAGGCCCCACCCCTTCACTGTACGGACGGGAGAACTGACTCTTCCAGGGGAACGTGCATGGGTGCCGACTGGAACCTGCCCTCCTCGTTCTCCTTGAGGGCCTCCGGCACGACCCGGGGCTGCTCCGAATCCTATTCCGAACTCACACGCTGACATTTTTGTTTGTTGTTGTTTCCAAACTGCGAGTCACGTACCGTGATTCTAGATCTCAGAGGCAGGTGCTGGCACGACTTCAGAGTTTTGTCTTTTCATCTGATTTTAGCAGACCCACGGTATTTTAATAGGTGTTTCACCTTTATTTGATTTCATGGACAATTGATTCTTTCACAAAGCAAAAAAAAAAAGAAAATAAAAAAGAATATTTCCCTCTTCTTCCCAGCATGGCCCTTGACCAGGAAAGGGAAGTCCATGAGAGTGGGGGAGTCGAACCCGGGAAGCCCATCTCTCCCATCCTCGATGATATCCACATGCCTGCCACGTCCTCCTGGCTCTCGCCGGGCGCTGTCAGGGACGGATCTCCAGCAGTGAGCACATGGGCAGGGCCAGGAGGTCACTGCCAACTCATCTCTGCAGGGCAAGAGAGACTGACCATTACAGCTGAATAGAATCTTCTGGATGCTGTAGGAGAATTGGAGTCAACAAGAAATAAGTTCATAGAAGAAGATAAGAATAGAATTCTAATCCTCCTCCTCCTCCTCCTCCTCCTCTTCCTCCTCCTCCTCCTCATCTTCCTCCTCCTCCTCCTCCTCCTCCTCCTCCTCCTCCTCCTCCTCCTCCTCCTCCTTTCTCCTCCCGTTGAATCCAGGGGTGCTCTACTTCTGAACTACATCCCCAGCCCACATCCCCAGCCCTTTTTATTTTGAGACAGAGTCTCGCTAAGTTGCTTAGGGCCTTGCTAAGTTGCTAAGACTGGCCTTGAACTTGTGATCCTCCTGCCTCAGCCTCCTGAGTTGCTGGGACTCCAGGTGTGCCTCTCCATGCCCAGCCTTGGGTAACATTTCGTAAAGAGCATCTAGTAGAATACTCCTTCTGAAAAATGCCTCAAAACGAGGATTCTCCCAACCTGGACAGAATGTGGGTATAGATAATAATACTACCAACAACAAAAGACATCAACCAACGCTTATCAAGGTCTTGATGGATTCTGCTAATGTCCTCGTGCATTACTTTACCTAATCCACTGTCCAACAACCTGATTCTGTAGGCACTCTTTCCATTCCTCCCCCAAGGTGAATCTCAAGGTGAATCTCAAGGTGAATCTCAGTGTGACTGAGGCAGCCCAGGCCACCAGCCTGTAGGTACAAGATCTGCTATTGGAATCTGGGTCATGTGACTCTAAAGTCCGTGATTCTGGCCATCATTTACTCTGCCTCTTTTCTTGGGGAGGGTGATACTGTTCCCATTTTAAAGACGGGGAAAATGGAGGATCCAAACGTTTAAGCAAGGTTCACCTTACCAAGGGAAGTCAGGTCCTACTCAGGTCCACACGATTTCTGGGATTTATAGGAAAGAGGCTCTGCCCACTTGTGTTGCAGAGCTAGTTGGATGAAGGTTAGCCTCGAGGTCAGCAGCCTCTTTGTAGAGTCTGTAAACTCAGCCAGCACCTCAGAAAGCAGAGCGCAGAGGGACCGCAGGATCAGCCATGCCTGGAGGCAGCTCTGCTCCCAAGACCGGGTGCCATCACTGTGTGGCTTAATCAAGACTGGGCATGAGCTGGTGGCTGTCTGCCATCTGGAGTCACATCCCCCCCTTCTCCAGCCTGGGGCTGCCTGGAGGCTGAGTGGCTGCTTCCTCACGGGCTCCCAAGGCTCAGACTCCCCACAGGGTTGGGCGGTAGGGAGCCCTGGCAGAGGTGGGAGGGAGGGAGGAGACCGAGGCCCGACGTTCACTCACTGGCTCCCTGCTGCACTGTAGACGCCTTGAGTTCTCCTTTGGAGCGGCTTCATGCTTTTGCAAACAGTTTCTTTATTAAACTCCACTCATATATCACAGACGGAGGGTTCCATCGGCTGCCTGCGGTGACCCTGATGGATACAGGTGGCTCCCTGTCACTTACAACCAATGATCTCAGTTTACGGCCGGGAGTGAAATAAGTCAAGCACCTACTTTCTGCCAAGCACCGCGCGGCGTCCCCCACGGACACGACCCCGCCCACTCCTGGGAGGGGCGCCTTGGCTTGTCACCCTGCCCTTCATGACGTGCCCTCCCGTCCCTCTGGCCCGATGGCTTTTGGGTCAACGCACAAAAGGCTTTTTGCAGAGCCTCTGCACAGCCTGCCCGCGGCCTCCCCGCGGCCTCTCCTGAAGCTGACCTCGGTGCGCTGCTCCCCAGGTGGGGTGGGTCCCCGATGGTGGCCTGGTCTTGGTCCTCCTTCCCCGGAGCTCAGGAGACTGCAAGGCGCTGTTAAAGGGTCTCTGTCCACAGAGGAGTGGGAATGGCCAGCTGCGTGGGGAGCCGCTTCTCATCTTACTGTTCCTGGCGCCCAGCAAGGCGCCTGGCCCCTGGTGGCTACTTGGTGACAATTTTGAGAAGGTCCTCCCAGGAAGAGACAAGGTAAGAAGGAAGGGAGGGAAAGAAGGGAGAGACCCCACGTCGCTGACCAGAGTCCACAGATAATTCTTTTTTTTTCTTTTTTTTTTTTGGTACCAGGGATTGAACTCAGGGCCCCCGACCACGGAGCCCCGTCCCCAGCCCTATTCTGTGTTTTATTTAGAGACAGGGTCTCCCTGAGTTGCTTAGGGCCTCGCTTTGGCTGAGGCTGGCTTGGAACCTGCGATCCTCCTGCCTCAGCCTCCCGAGCCACTGGGATGACAGGCGTGGGCCACCGCACCTGGCTCCAGAGTTGATTCCAAGTGCAGCGTAATTTGTGCAGAGAGATTATCAGGGTTTCTGAAAACGAGGACCTATTGGTAGAGGGTGTAACCGACTCCTTCCATCTCCATAAATTTAGTTCTCTGAGCGCCACCTGCACCTGGAGAGGTCATTTCGATGAGCCCTGCCTGGCTTAGCAGTTGAGAGGGTTCCTCTTCATGGGAACACACGGAGCCTGGCTTTGTCTTCGGGGACATTGAGATTCCCAAGATCCCCCAGCCCAGCAACAGGGACAGGGGGGACCCTGCCCCATTAGCCAGTCCGGAGAGGCCGTTGGAAGACCCTTCTCCCAGACCCTCCCTCCATGCCTGAGCCTCGATACAGATAAAGGGCCGCGCCCCTCCCGACAGGCAGCCGTTGATTGACTGCAACACTCCACCTCCGCCCGGCCAGGACCAGGCAGGCCCTTGATCAATACTTCCCACACAGACCACTTCCCATGATGAATGCACGAGTGGAGAAGAGGAACAGATTGACCTTTCAGCGCGGGTGGCAGGCGGCAAGAGGAAAAGACGGCTCAATTCTGTGGGGAGAAGAGCACGGGGCCTGTCTCCCGGCTCCCGCCACCATATTTCAGCTGCAGGGAGCCGTGAACAGAAGGCTCATCCCTAAAGCGTCTCCGAGATGTCCTCTGTCACCGCAGTGCATCTTCCCGGTCACCTCCTACCTGTGTTCGGCTCAAAGGAGGCCATGGAGGCGCGGGCGGGACAATACATATATATATATAAACTGTGGGTGGCTGATGGATGGGGACCCGCAGGACGGGCGGGGGGAGCCTGGGGACAACGGAAAGATGAAAGTCTCCAAGAAGAGGCCTCTCGCGCCCCTAAATCCTTCCCGCTGACAAGGTACACGGGAACAAGGTGATTCACCTCCGTGATGGAACTGATTGCATCAGAGATCTCGCAGTCCCCAAGCCGGGAGGCTGGGGGGGACAGCACAGCGGGACAGGGCCCGCTGTAGTGACAGGGCCCTGCCAGGGAGCCCTAGGAGACAGGGGACCCAGTGCAAAGCCCAACAGGTAAGTCGAGGCACCCCAGTAAGGTGAGATGCAGCGCGTGGCTGGCTGAGTCATTCATTCACTTAAAATAGTGCATTTGGTAGAGACCATTCGGGCCAAGACCCTGGTTTCCAGTTGCTTATTAAAATGGTCCCCCCGCCTCTCTTCTTTTTTTTTGTACCAGGGATTGAACTCAGGGGCACTCGACCCCTGAGCCCCACCCCCAGCCTGTTTTTTGTACTTTATTTAGAGACAGGGCCTCACTGAGTTGCTCAGGGCCTCACCCTTGCCGAGGCTGGCTTTGAACCCGCCATCCTCCTGCCTCAGCCTCCCGAGCTGCTGGGATCACAGGTGTGCGCCCCTGCATCCGGCTCACTTCCCTCTTAATTCATCCCTTCCTGTGTGTCTTAGGTCTTCTTTTAGCTCATCCATCATTTTAACAATCGAATTTTTAAAGTCTTTCTCTGGAATTTTATCCCTCTCCAGGTCCGTGTGTTCCTTTAAATGGTAAGTGCTCTAATGATGGACAGTGACGAAGCCTCTCCTAGAAGCCAGGTGCTCCTCTTTCTGTTCGTGGATCTCAATTTGTTCTCCTAACAGCCACATCCTGCTTTTGCAGATGAGGAAACCAACACCCAGAGACATGAAGTAACTTTCCCAAAGATGCTCAGCAAATGAAGACTCAGAAATAGGCCCCAGGCCAGGTGAAGGCAACACCTGGCTGATGGCTCTTTTTCCAACCCCTTTGGAATATTTTTTTTTTCTCATTGCTTGAAGTGAAGGATAAGGTACAGGAGGATGGAGAGTGGTTTGAAGGACAGAGAGTTCACGTCGGGTCTGAGCAGCAGGAAAAGCTTCCTAGAGGAGATGACAATTTAGTTTGCTCTTGAAGGACAGGTTGGATTTGAGGAGGTGGCAATGGAAGAAGTCACCACCCTGTCAACTTTGAGAATATTGTGAGAGATGTCCTTGTCATTTGGAACACCTTCCTAGGACTTGGTCGTCGGGTTAATTGTATGAGTCAACTTGACTGCACTAGGGGGTGCCCAGATGACACAGGTATTTGGATGTGTCTGTGAGGAGAACATCAGCATTTGAATTGGGGGGACATGGTCGATTTCCCTATGGGGGTGGCCTCTGTTCTAAGGGTCCTTCCAAAGTGGGAGGAAGAGAATGTGCCCCTTTGCTTCTCACCTGCCTGCCAATCTGGATCTTTGTCTTCTGCCTCTGGACCAGGATGTACACCCTTGGCTCCAGGTTCTCAGGCCTTGGATTTGCAGACAGCAGACTGCACAACTTCTCAGTCTCCATAAACATGTCCATCAATTCCTGATCCGCAAAGCCATGTTCCAGGCCCTTGGATACACAGACAGTGTCCCCTGTGGGCAGGGGGACTGGGGAGGAGATCCACATGAATTGTCTCAGGATTAAGGTGGGGTCTTGAGCCAGATGCCTAAACATTGTGTCCAATTGACAGACTCTTCTCCCAACTGAATGAGAAATAAAAATAACGAAAACCAAAAAAGGAATCAATCAGAGCCCTCCTCCAGGATCATCTGGACGTGAACTTGAAGTGCCAAGCACAGTGTGTGAATGAACGAGTTGCAGATGCTCTTTAGGCCCCCCTCTTCCCCTTCAGCCCAAGCCCAGAGAACACCACCAGCTGGCCACCCTGTGGGACAGCAGGTAAGAGGCCAGAGTGTCCAGGTTCAGAAAATAGACCGCTGGGGAGACCTTCCCCCGTGCAGGATTAGGTCACAGGACATACGTTACTGGAGAAATAGAAGGCAGAAACAGACATTAAACATTTGCAATCATTGTCTTTTAGCTCACAGTCGACTAAACATGGTCCAGCCTCTGTCCTAGACGAGGATCCCATCAGATTAGAAGTGTCTTCTTGGAAGTGATGGGCAGGACTTGGTGAAGAGCAAATTCCAATGCAAGGACTAATGGGTACCGCAATAGAAGTGTGGTGAGTATTAGTCTCCTGTTGCTGCTATAACAAGTCAACAAAACTTACTGGCCTAAAACAACACATTTATTATAGTTGTGACGGCCAGACGTCCTACATGGGCCTCGCTGGGTTGGAATCAAAGGGCTGGCAGGGTTGTGTTCCCTCCTGGGGCTCTGGGGGAACCTGTTTCCTTGCCTTTTACAGTTAAAAGATGCTGCCCGCAATTCCTTGATTGGTGGCCTCTTCCTCTTTCTGCAGAGTCAGCACACTCAGGCAAGTTCTTCTCACGTAGCCGTCTCTCTGGCTGCCCGTCACTTCTTCCCTCTTCTACTCCCGAGGACTCTTGTGATGTCACTGGGGACACCTGGATGATCCAGGATACTCTCCCCGTCTCCCGGTTAGCTGATCACCGGAAGCCCAATTCCATCTTGAAGATCCATCCTCCTTTGCCGTGGAACCGAACCACGGGTTCAATTTCCAGGGATTTGGATGCAGATGTTTGGGGAGGAGGCGGGGGACATTATTCTGCATGTCCTTTCTCCTAAGCGCCCAAAGGGACATTTCATCATTTCCATTCTCTGTCATTTACTCACTGGTAAAACAGAGGTTCCAAGAAACACTGCAAGGTCACTAGGTGAGTGACGGTGACGTTCCAAGGTCGAAGTCTGGGGAGCAGGGACTCGGAGCAATACCCTTCCCAAGAACCAACCTCAGAGCAAGATGCTCAGAGTCCCCAACCCTGCGTCCATCCGCAAAATAAGGACAACCGCCATCTGTTGGGGGCAGGAGTGAGATCTAGATGACACAAACACACCTGTGAGTAAATGCGAATAAATAGATACACACACGCGAGCTTCCCGCCTGGAGATTCCCCACCCCTCTCACCTGTCTTGAGTTCTCCCCACACCTCTACGTTTCCCAGCTTTTCTTTTTCCTAAGACGCTGGAAGCAAATAATCTCTTCTGCTTTGTGTTCTAGAATGTTCATGGCCTTGGGTACGCCACGCAATTTTCCAAATCACAAGCTAATTAAAGACTCCAGCAAAGGGCTAAAAGTAGATCAAACATTGACGTGGGCGACCATCGATCGGTACATTTCCTCGACTCTCGGTGCAATGCATCAATTACATTAAATAATCTCTTAATAAAGTTTCCTCCTCAGCATTTCCCACCCGGACCTGGTGCCCTCACTCTGAAAATGCGGTTACCTTGGAAAGAAACATCTTTTTTTTTTTTTTTTCCAAACGGCCATCCACAAATGCCAAACCGCATGCAAAGGATGGTTTGGGGGCCGTTTGATTATATTACAGTCAGAGTAAATTCAGACAGGCTAACCGAGGCAGCACTGATCCAGGATGGGTGGACACTTGAGTTGTCTTTTGTTTGTTTGGTTGGTTTTGCACAGGATCTGGCTGTTGGGTTCAGCAGGAATCCAAAAGTCATTTACTCAGTGTCTAATTATAAAAGCTGCCTTTTATTGAGCAGGTATTTTGTGTCGACACTGTGCTAAGCTATGCGGGCATCCAGGTCCCATGCAGACCTGCAGACAGTCCTGAGATGTAAAACTGAGCATCATGGTGCATTGTAAAGGAACTGGGTTCCGGAGCAGTAGAGAAACGTGATCACACAGGTCATGATTGGTAGCAGGAGGATTTAATCCAGGTCCATCTTATTCGGGGTATGAATTCTTTTGGGGGTGGAAGGGCACCGTGGCTTGACCTCAGGGGCACTCGGCCACTGAGCCCCACCCCCAGCCCTATTCTGTATTTTATTTAGAGACAGGGTCTCCCTGAGTTGCTTAGGGCCTCGCGTTTGCTGAGGCTGGATTTGAACTCGCGATCCTCCTGCCTCAGCCTCCCAAGCCGCTGGGATTATAGGATGCACCACGGCGCCCAGCTGGGGTAGGAATTCTTAACCACTACACAACACTACCTGCTTCGTGCCAAACTTGGGTGTAAGATGCCACCATGAATAGTCTGACGTTCTTTGCCCCCCACCCCCAAAAAAAGAAAGAAAGAAACCACTGTAGACAGATAATGATATTTGCACTTCAAGAATCACGCATTGCCAGTGAGTTACATGGTCCTTCATTTTAAAAATGCCAAGAGATGTACAATGAATGCTAAGTTCCCTTTTATTCTTGTCCCCCGTCCTTGGTACCCTGCCGGGAAATGGTGTTCTACGACCCGGTCTTCTGATCTCTTCCAAAACAACAAACATTTTTAAAGCCAACGAAGCGCGGGAGCAAGCGGGTTTCACTGCCCCGTCTTAGTGAATGTTCTAGAAGGCTGAGCCGAGAAAGACGGCGTTGAAAGCCAGCCGCCGAGCTCCTCGGTCACGCCAGAAGGACACGGGAAGGTCATTACACCCAAGCTCCAGGGAAAAGAGGAGGGTTAGGGCCGACTCACCAGGAGATGAGCAGCTGCAGACGCTCAGCAGTGACCGCGCTCACTCCGGGCCCCAGGCGTTTCCCATCTGACGACCTTTCATTCCTCCTTGGAATCCTGCCGGTGGCTGAACAGGAACGTTCTCCCAGGAGCTGCGGGCGGTTGCAGGGCGGTTGGGGACAGGTCAGAGACTTGCATCCTTTCTTCCCACGGTCACAGGAAAAGGGTTTGGTTCCTCCCTTTAAGGTAAACTGGAAAGTGGAATCCAGCTGTTGGAAGTGATTCACGAGGAACAGAAAACTAGACCTGTCACCCCGTGCAGGGCCAAATCCAGGCGGGGACAAGCAGATGAAGAGTCTATCAGCGTCTATGGACCAGGCTGCGGTCACCAGGGAACACGAGCTCTTAAAGAGCTTTTAAAAAGTAACCTTTCCCCCCTGTGTGTCGTTTTGGTCAGGTCTTTTGGTCACAGCAATGAAAAATCTAACTGAAACCACATTGCTATAAACTGCCCACACAGTCTGATCTGTTATTGGAGCAGGTCCGGAAGGTATAGGGAGACCATGTGGCATAGTGTAGGTGACACGGACCCTAATGACAGACAAGGCAGGTTCACCTCCTGGTTTCTTTACGTCCTCGCTGTGCTAGGTGAGGTGAGTGTCTTTACTTCTCTGTGCAGCACGGTTGATAAGATCCCCAAATCCAAGTGGCTGTCAGGAGTTGAACAGAAAAGCAAATCATGACATTTTTCATACAATTATAGACTTCTTTGTAATAAGGGGAAAAAAAAAGAAGAGTGGCAGAGACCACATGCACGGATCTCAGAAA